TCGGGGCCAGAACTCAAGGCAGAAGCCTGGAGGCAGGAACTAAAGCAGATGCCATGGAGAATTGTTGCTTACTGGCTTGCTCTCGGTGCCCTTCTCAGCATGCTTTATTTATTCATTCATTCATTTATTTATTTATTTAAGATTTCTGCCTCCTCCCCGCCACCGCCTCCCATTTCCCTCGCCCCTCCCCCAATCAAGTTCCCCTCCCTCATCCGCCCGAAGAGCAATCAGGGTTCCCTGCCCTGTGGGAAGTCCAAGGACCACCCACCTCCATCCAGGTCTAGTAAGGTGAGCATCCACGAAACTGCCTAGGCTCCCACGAAACCAATAGCATGCAGTAGGATCAAAACCCAGTGCCATTGTTCTTGAGTTCTCAGTAGTCCTCATTGTCCGCTATGTTCAGAGAGTCCGGTTTTATTCCATGCTTTTTCAGACCCAGGCCAGCTGTCCTTGGTGAGTTCCCGATAGAACATCCCCATTGTCTCAGTGTGTGGGTGCACCCCTCGCGGTCCTGAGTTCTTTGCTCTTGCTCTCTCTCCTTTTCAGCATGCTTTCTTATAGCACCCAGGACTACCTTCCCCAGGGTGGCACCCAGTGAGCTGGGCCCTCCCACATCAATCATCAATCAAGGAAATGATTCTCAGCTATGGACAACGGGACCCACTAATTTGCCATGTCTAAGTTTGTCTCCTGACTGAAGAGGTGGCTCAAGTTAAGAGAACTTGCTATCCTTGCAGACAATCTGGGTCCTTTTCTTAGCACCCACACTGGGTAGATTACAACTGCCTGTAACTCAAGCTCCAGAGATCTGACACCCTGCTCTGGACTCCACAAGGACCTGCACACACAGTGAATGTAAACTCACACAGGCACACAGACATACACAAAATAGAAATAATTTTAAATCAAGAAAGAGAGAGAGAGAGAGAAGGAAGGAAGGAAGGAAGGAAGGAAGGAAAGAAGAAAAGAAGGAAAAGAAAAGAAAATGACCCTCAAGTTTGCCCATAGTCCACTCAGTATTCTCCCTTTTAAAATGACTCTAGCTATGCCAAACTGACGTAAAAGTAGCCCGCACGTTCTAGCTCTTCCTTCCTTTCTGCCTTCTCTTCCTGAGCGCAGGCAGGGGTGAGGTTGATAATAATGCGCACTCAGCCTCTTATTCCCAGAATTCTGACAGTTAAGCATCTACTGCATTGGCTGCTGCTCTCTGCAAGAGGAATTCTCTCTGGGCACTACTGTTATTGGTCGCTAACCATTTTCTGACTGGATTTTAAAGCCTGCTCCACAGAACAAATGCCATGTCTGGTATTGTAACCATAGTCAAATCTCATGGCTAGGGAGCTCACAGGCCCCAGGGGAGAGCCTACTGTTGTTATGATACCTTATTATTAATGTGAGCCATGTCATGGCTGGGTAGCTCACAGGCCTCAGGGGAGAGCCTACTGTTGTTATGATACCTTATTATTAATGTGAGCCATGTTCCAACAAAAAGCTCACACACACACACACACACACACACACACACACACACACCTTGGTATAGTTACAAATGGGTCTGATTCCAGGATTCGGGAAGACTGAAACAGGAGGATTCCCATGAATTCAAGGTGATCCTGGGCTGTATAATGAGATACTGTCTCAAAATCCCAAACAGAGAGGAGAGAGAGAGGAGAAGGAGAAAAGGAAGAAGAAAGAGAGGAGAGAAGAAAAGAAGAGGGAAGGGAGGGGAGGGGAGAGAAGGGAAGAGGAGAAGAGAGAGAGAAGAGAAGAGAAGAGAAGAGAAGAGAAGAGAAGAGAAGAGAAGAGAAGAGAAGAGAAGAGAAGAGAAGAGAAGAGGGTGGCTGGAGAGATGGCTCAGATGGTTAAGAGCATTGCCTGCTCTTCCAAAGGTCCTGAGTTCAATTCCCAGCAACAACATGGCGGCTCACAACCATCTGTAATAAGTTCTGGTGCCTTCTTCTGGCCTGCCGGCATACACACAGACAGAATACTATATACATAATAAATAAATAAATATTTAAAGAGAGAGAGAGAAGGGAAGGGAAGAGACAGCCTTCACACATATACAATAAAATGTACAAAATGCTCCTAGAGGTGAGAAAACTGGGAGGAAGAGCAGCTGTGAGAGTGTCAGGAATCCCTGGCTGAGCCTGACTGACAATGGACCACCAGAGTAAGACTGGTAATATCTCTGAACCTGGCTCAGTACCACCTTAGGCTCATCATGAGCTGCAGGAAATACCGCAGAAAGAGGGGCTGTGTGGCTGAGATCTGAATGTAGGGCTCCTGGTCACCTCTTGTTAGTGTCATAGATACAGGTCCTGTGTTAGTCAGCCTGTTGTTCGAGGAGGACAAGGAGAGGCCTTCTTGTCCCACTTGAGGGATTGTTAGCTTACCACAACCCAGCACAGTGACTGACATGTGGCAGCCACAGCTGTAATTGCAGCCAATAATGCAGACTAATAGCCGACAATTACTGGGTGTGCGCCGCTGTGAGGACTTCTCCGGTGCTTTATTTCCATCAGCTCACTTAACTCTCAATCCTAAGAGGCACAAGCTGTTACAATCCCATTGTACAAAGGAAACTGAGGCCTTCCATGAGACAATGGGATTGAGGTGGCTTAGGACGCCATGACAGCATCTATTTCCTCCACAGCCTGGACTGCCTCTGTCCTGACTACTTCCCTATTTTAACCACCCAGCTGAGTGGCACCTGCTCTATCCATCCTGGCCCTCCGTCCTCCCCAATGGTACAGGTAATCCTCTTTCCTTTGTCTATCCCAGCCTTTATCCATTGTCCAACACAATAACTATCACATTCACTACATTATATCTTTTTTATTAGAAAGACTGGTATACATCCACCACAACAAGAGGTAAGCTGGCCTCAATGCAATAAATCACAAGTTTTCAAGCAATAATCAGCCCACAGTTCAAACCTATTCCCTACCAGGTGCTGTTTTAGATGATTTGGCAGATGCCACCTTCCTCTAAAACAACACATCTCTTTTTAAAGTGTGTTTATATCTGCTGATTTTTTGATATTCCTGGAAACCTAGTATAGTGAACTTTATAGGTAAAATTATCCCTAAATGAAAGATAGGGAAACTGAGGCACACGTGCTGCTCAGCATCTTTCCTATGGTTCTTTGAACCTGCAGGTGTTCATGAGGGAAAACTTCCTGCCAGAGCTTTCAGTAAGGTGATTAGTAGGTCCATGAGCTCTCGCCACCCGATGATATTCCCTCTAAGGGGGCAGCGGGGCTGTCGACAGCAGGAGCCACATGTGTGTGCTGGGCAGAAACGAAGACATCCTAAAGAAACACTTTGAGTCCCTCAACCTATCAGACTATTTGAACGGTGGACCCCAAAGAAATGGGAAGTCCCTGCAAGGAGCTCACGGTAGGAGAAGCAAAGGCACTAGCCAGAGGGGCCTGACTCTAGAAAAGGGGTCTCACACCAGTCCAATCACTTCCCAGAGCACCCTGCAGGACTGAAGCCCAGAGCAGCAGTAGGTAGCTCCACACCTAGACTAGGGCTACTTCCACGTGCATATTCTTGGGCCACCATTTAAATTTTGATCTTCCCCGGGTCCCTTTGCACTTCCAGTGTGGCCACATGAATAAATCTCCTTTTTCTGCTTTCCACTTATGATCTTTTAATCGACTTTGTTGGGGATAGGTAACCTCCGAGTTCAATTAAAATAGGAAGTAAACACGTTGAAGGAAAGGCAGAGTTTGTAATGACCTGACAATGTGGAGCAATCTCGAGGAAGAGCTACATGGCTGTGTTTACAGGAAAAGACTGGGTCCCCAGTTTGTGTCTCAATAGCCAGGGTCTGGAGAAATGAGGGCAGAGGAAGCAAGACTGGTGGGGAAACTGCCACGAAGGGTTGGGGTAAGCGCCTGGCCTGCCGAGTGCTTGGGCTGTCAGAGCTTTGGTGATCTTGAAAGGTCATATGACCCACCGCCTCTCAAGAGAACAAACGTGGCCTGCCCGGGCCCTGAGGAAGGGCAGCTGAGTAACCAGGATACTGCTGGCTCTTCGATGTAACCAAGAACTAGTCAAGAGTTGTCGCCGGAGGACCATAGGCCTAAGTCACTAGATTACAGTCCCACGGCTCCCCTTCCCGATTTCTTTCCTCAAAGATGCTGAACCAATTATGCGAGGACACTAGGCCAGCTGCAGAGAGAGGGAAGTACGTTCCTCTGTGGAACTAGACGTTGAGGGGAAACAGGGGCAAACATTCGCACAGAGGAAAGCAATGGGATGAGTCCCTGCTCTCAGAAAACTCAGGACCCAGAGTCTTCAGCAGAGACAGGCCACCAAGATGGGCACTAAAAATGTCCAGAGGCAAAAAAAAAATTCTTCCTGGAATATTCCTCCAGATCTCTGAGCTTCTGGGAAGAAAGAGTAAAATGACACAGCCGGGCAGCAAGGAAGGCAGGGGCCACGGGAGGACTTGGCCCACTGAGTCACGAATAGCTCAGAGTGGAGAGAAGCATCAGTCATCCCCACACCCAACCCCTCTTTCCTCCAGGAAGCCTTCCCTGGCTGACAACTCCCAGCTTCTGCTCATCACTCTTCCTGTGGCAGGCGCCTGCTGCTTTGTTGGGCTGGATGACTGACTTTGCCAGCACTTGCCTTGCCCTTCTCAACATACACAAAACCAAGTGCACAGCGCTCCCTGGCACACTGGCGACACCCATGCTGACGCGGGTCACGCCCAGGTCAACAGCCAGCATCTTCTTTTCAGGATCACCAGTGACAGATACCTGGGTTGCACCCGGGCACCTCCTCTCCCGCAGTCTGTCCTTGAGGACTGGAACTTTGACGTTTACACATCTCTTCTTCTCTCCTCCTTTCCTCTTATCCCTCTGTGTAGCTACTGACCCTTCCACAATGAGCAGGAACCCCTTATTGAGTCTCCAAGTTCTCCTCACCTGATGCATTCTCTAAGATACCTAAATTTCACTACCCCATTTCCAAGGATAAAATTCAAATCTCGGTGTTCACCTGAGTAAACGAAGTTTGCATGTTCCCCTTGGACATTTATTTCCGGACAGCTCTCGGCTAGTCCCAGACATGCCACCCAAGTCTCCGCTGCTATTATGTCTTCTTGAATCATCACCTCCCTCTTGGTCCTTCCCAGGACTCGACCGTGTCCTGTGCCTGCAGACCCCTGGGAGGGCTCCATCTGTACACCGTTATCCCTGCGGCTCCCCTCCTGTTCTGCATGTACAGTGAGTGTGTGGTCAATAACAACCCTGGGAGACCTTACTTCCTTTTCAGGCGGCGGCCTGCCCCAGAAAACTCCTTCCCTTGCCTATAAACTGATGCCAGAGCAGAGGGCCATTTCACACTTCACATAAGATTTCTGATAGCAAGGTTGCGTCTCTTGCAGCAGCTAAAAGCACCTTGGATTCAAGGCCAGTATTCCCCAACCAAGCAAGGGACCACCCAATCGTGTTCCAATCAATCAAGGGACCACCCAATCGTGTTCCAATCAAACAAGGGACCACCCAATCGCGTTCCACAAAGTAAAGACTAAACTTTTACTGAACATTGATGGAAACCCTGAACCATGCCCCAAGTACTTCCCAGAAATATCTGTGATATTATTTGGACACACATGTGCACACCGAAGAAGAAACACATGGCTGAGCTCCGAAAGCCGTTCATCCCTCCGGGACCAGCTTCCGTGGTGAGAGACTGCCTGTGCTCCTCTAGTAGAGGCTGTGCTGGCTACAGTAGTGTGTGCAGAGCTGCCGGTGGAACTGCAGGTGATAGTCCTTCACCAGTTTGCCCAGGATGTACAGGAACTCGTCAAAGCAGATCTGGTTGTCCTTGTTTTTGTCGGCTGCCCGGAACAGCTCCGTGATGTAGTATGGCTGCCTGCGGCCCTGGGGGATACAAAGACAATCAACACCCACTGAGCATCCGAATGCCTGTCCTCCCACTGGACATGGGAAGAGCCCAGGAGTACTGTGCCCCTAGAAGGAGCATTCAGAAAACAAGTGCCCACACAGATGTGTGTGGCAAGATCACCACATGCTACAAAATCAGGCTGAAGAGGCACAGGCGTTGGTGGCCAACGTGGGTCACTGGGCCTAGAGTGGCATGGGCCCAAACAAGAGACTGAGATGCCCCTTTCACAGAAGGACTGTGAGCAGTTCCTGGACAGTACTTGGCAGCCTGGAGTCCCTGGGTCCACTTCACATACACGCAGTGGCTGTGCCCTGTCTTCGCAGCTACAATACAAGCTCTCTTAGGGAGACACCTGTGCGGGCTCCCTGAGGGCAGGACACTGCCTCCTTCTCCACACTGAGAGCTCCTTAAAGGGAAGGTCAGCCTGTCTGCATGCATATACACATCTCCTGTGTGACTGCAGGACCGTCTCCAAGCAGGGCATATCTCTGCTTGCCACCCACCTAGGCATTGTTTATGAAAGTCACTGGCACACCTAGAGAGTACAGAAAGCAGGGAGGACAGAGAAATGGCCACTGGAGCTGTCCAGGATGTCCAAGCAGAGGACCCTGAGGCTGAAGATCAGAATGCACAGGAAGGGGCTCTTTGAGACGGGGAGACAAGCATGAGGAAAGCTGGGAGTTCTTGTTTTGAGAGCAGATAATGACGGATGGGGTCAGGAGGATGTGGAAGAAAACTGGGGAGTGAGAGGAAAAGCAGGTTTCGGCAGGATGTTCCTGGTGTACGTGGACAAATGGAACATCTGGGAACGGTTGAGGGAAGGAAGATGACGTGTGAGTAGCTGCAGACATGGAGTGCAGTTGCTAACCCCTGAGGGAGGGCCGGCAGTTTCTCTCCAGGTAGCAAGCCCACCATCCTATACCCCATCACATCCACGGAGTTCCTACCCAGAGAAGACAAGCACCCTCGTAGGTGCCCATCCCTATCAAGTCTGCCAGCTATGCCCCTATCCTCAAGAGCCCTGCAGCAAAGGCAGATCATGATCGCAGACCTGGGCAATCAGGAGAGCTGCCAAGGAAGGCTCCCAGAAGGGAAAGAATTTTCTAAAAATAAATAGCAAGGAACTTCCACCCTGTCTTCTGAACTCTCAGAGGAACATTCCAGAGAGCATACATTTTTTTCTCGAGAGGATGTGAGCGAAGAAACTATTTCACAGGGATGAGCTGAGTCTCACTTCCTTTAGAGAGGGTAGGGCAGAAAGCCGGGGACATGACAGGGTTCAGAAAACAACATGGTGTTTTCTTCGGTGCTGCAGATCCTAAGAACACAGTGCTGGTGATTAGGACCAATGAATGACAGCCTGGACGAGCAGGCTCTGTAAGCCCAGGATCTTAGGCTGGCCCTGTCCAGCTCTAAAAAGTCTCAGGCACGGGAAGTGGAAGAGGTTATATTTCCAGTGCCCACCAGACTCGCAGCAGAAGGGACTTAGGCTCCAAGGCTTATAGAGAGAGTCTGAGTTTAGAGCAGTGTTACTGGCTAAGAGGCTATGAACAGAGAACACTTCTGAGTCCATGCTCACAGGACACAGGAGACAGCAGAATCAGCAAGTGTGGTGTCAGACTGAGTCTCAGAGACTAGCTCTTCATGGACTTGAGTGAAACCAAGCAGGTGACTTCAGAGGAGAGAGGGACAGGAAATAAAGCAAACCCTGCCCTCCCTCGTCCATCCTCCTTCCAGGATCAGGAGGTTCTCGTGGGAGTCAGCTCCTTCCACCACCTCAGCACCTCAACACCTCAGCACTCATTCCCGTCCCACAAACATCACAGCCTGGACACTTCGGTCCTCTCCCACCCCCCATTCCACCCCCAGACCTGACATACCAGGGTGTCCATGAAGCGCGGCACACTCTCCAGGAGCAGGGCTTTCAGCTCCTCTAGGGACAAGGTCTCCACGTCCCCCTCCCGGGCTGCATAGTGGTGGAAGCAGTGTATGATTTGGAAGAGGGAGTCCTCCACTGGTGTGTCTGGCATGACTGCTGGGCCCAGCAGGGTGTGGGCAAATCTGCAGAGCAGAGAGGAGGCACTGGTCAGTGAAGTCTGTGGGGAGGGGGCAGGCCCGATCTGTAGACATCCAGAACAGGACTCTCTGCCCTCCTGCCCACGGTCCCGTGTTGTGTCAGAAAGGGGGACTCATGCTCTCACTGGGCCCCTGTGAACTTGACTTTCCTGCCTGACCTCAGACTAAGTCCCTACAGTGGGACCGAGGGCCTCCTGGGTACAGAAGGGGCCTCCTTCTTCCTAATAGTCAAGAAACAGAACAAGCAAAAGATGGTTTGAAACAAGGCACTGTTTTTGTTGTTTTCAGTGAAAATGTTGACGTCCTTGAAAAGGCAAGATCCCTTCCCCTACAGTAAACCACTTTATGGGATCAGCAAAACACTAGTATAAATTACCAGTATAAAGTACAGTATAAAATAATTAAACCGCACAGGAGAATCAGGCCGGGCATTGTACTGTTCATGTGCTTTCTTCCTCCCTGGAGTATGCAGGCAGCATAGGCATTGGCACCTTTGTCCCCACAGCACCTGGCATGCAGTTTCTAGGAGTTGACATCCCCGTCCCCAGCAAGGTCTCCATAGCTCCCGAGCCTTCCTACAGCTCTGTGCACTGCCCATCTGGTGCCCACGGCTGCTTACTCCAGACTTCCTACAGAGGCAGGGTCACAGGCAGCTGTGCTTCCATATGCCCTGTGCAAACAGCAATCATTACAGCCCCACATCCCACTTCTGTGCCAGCTAGATGACAGGCAAGGCATCTCTTGTGCATTATCCCCTTTAATCCGCAAAGGGCCCTGAGGAGTTGAGCATCACTACCCCATTCTCCAGAAGAGAAAAGAAAATCCAAAGAGGTTAGGAAATTTACCAAGATTACACAATCGCTACACCTAGATTCATCCTCAAATCTTTGTCTTTGTGGACAAGCCCAAAGACGTCCTTGTCCTCTAGAATTCTAGACCACGTTGTTGGGATGCTCATCCACACTTCACATGTTTCCAGAACAGTCAAACTGAGGAGCTCTGCTCTCTAGGATCTGTGCACACCCAGCACAGCCCACACAGTCCCCGGGATGCTCTCGGAAGAGGAACTGACCTGGTGCTCTTGGTGTCGGGCTGTTCGGCATCCACAGCTTAGTCTCTGCGTGATCCTGGAAATCAGACAAAAGGCAGCCTTCTGAGCAGGGGAACTCCCACCGTGCAGGACATCCTGCCCATTGCTGGTCCACTCATTTATGAGCCAGTGTGTGACTCTCCACAGGTTCTTCTGCAGCAGGACCAAACCTTAACTGCATTCCTGGGGTGACATCATCACACTCCTTGCTAAGATAAACTCAACTGGTTTTAGGGAGCTACCTCCAGGATCTGAAACACCTAAGAAACACAAAAGGTTTCATTATCCATCCACTACCTCCTATTAGGACTCATCCCCACCACGCCTCCCAGGCTCCAAGGCCACACTTAAAAATACCTTCCTTGGACAGCCTTCCCCGAGCAGTGAACCTCCCAAGTCTCCAGTGATGAACCACATTCACCCTCTCACTCATCAACTATTCCATGAGTACTTGCCGCATGCCAGGCCCTCTACTAGGCCCTGTGAATAAGACACTGGGCCAGCTAATTCAAGGGGCGGGGCTAACAGTTAGACATGGTTACCATGGACTCTGGGCAACTATAGGGCAATCAGGACACTCAACAAGGGCTGCCTTCTCCCAGAAAAATTAAGGAAGTTTTACTTAGGGAAGTGCTTTTTGAGTAGTGTCTCAAAGAGAAATCTTAATTTGTTGCAGGAATGGAGGAGTTCTAGGCAGAGGGGACTGCCTGGGCAAAGGCTTGGCCGTGTGGAGCAACACGGCCTGCTCCGGGCATGGAGTTCACAGGATGCCATGATTGCTGAGAAGACAGATAAGGGTGAAGCCCTGTGCACCTGCCTTTGCTGAAGTCTGACTTTCTGTGTGGAAAGAGCTGAGAGGTTGCGTTCGTGGCCTGGGTGATGCACGGAGGTCAAAGTGCTAGGACCACTTTGACCACCAGGAAACAGCCAGCTACAACCTGGAAGTAACTCCACAGAGAAGTCCAGTCCTTAGAGCTGGCCTCTTCACAAGTGCCACTTAGCTCTCAGGGGACAAGTGAGCTCTGCTCTCCGTCACACCCCAGTACAAGCCTCTGGGCCTTCTCAACCTCTGTAGCACACCTGGGCCCACACAGGCTGATGAGTGTTTCTCCCAGAAGGTGGCGCCAAAGAACAAGTAACAGTGTCGGCGCCTGCATCTCTGAAGATTCCACATTGAAGAGAGACATGTAGCTGCAGCGTTGCTTACCGGTACAGGGTGAGCGGACTAGAGCACCAGGATTCAAAACCAGCACCGGAACCACGACATCAATAGCATGCTTAGTCATAGAAGGTCTTAAGCCAGTGCCTCTCCCAGTTTGTGTTCACCTAACAAAACAATCTATTCACCGGACAAGAGGCTTATTGAGCCCCTATAGTGTTCCCATGCTAAAAACACAACTCAATTTTCTCAACTATTTGGAAGTGCCTAGCTAGAACCATAAAAAAAATTATTAAATATCTTTGGTTCATCTATCATTCCCGGGAATTTATTATAAGAAGCTGACTAACTAGAGGCTTTAAGCAATAATTCAGAAAATATTTCCCACTGCAATATCTATAGTTTGGAAACACAGGTAAATGAAAACCTTAAAATCATGTAATTCACACTCTCACTGTTTATACAAATACTCTATAATATTTTTAAGCTCTAGAAATCACATGTGGAATGATGATCTAATAACCAAATGGTTGCTTGCCAGTGACCAGCACCTCCTCCTGACTGTCCCCATCCCTGATCACAGCCCACTCCAGCAGGGATTCTATGCACCAAAAGTGACTTAGACACACAGGTTATGCTACCTGCTCTTCCTTCCTGGCCTCATCTACTCAGATCACATCCTTCTATAATAATTCTGAATATTAATGTCCTCAAAAACAGCTTGAAGTCAACCTAACCAGGAGAAAAAGGCCTTTTCTGCATGGTGGGGACACATCAGGTTTAGCAGCATGACAACCAACTCCCACGCGGGCTGCTTTGCATAGGTTTGAACTATCTAATGCCCTGCTCCAGACTCCAGACGGTGGGGAGCAGAGGACAGTGGCACGGGTGTTGTCTTGTCCTCTTCACCAGACCTTGCAAGCATCTGGCCATACGATGCTCTGAAGTGACCCTGCCTCTCCCTGGACCACGGGTTCCCAGAGAGCAGGTGCTGACGAGCCCGGGGAGCTTCTCCAGAGTATGGCTTTGAAGTAGGATTTTCTGCTGTTTGTTTGCTGAGTAAACTTGTGATGTTTGCCTAACTCTGCACACGCCAGGGGCTCTTTAGCTAAAATGGAAACACAGCCTAGCTGTTAGGATTATGAGAATTAAAGAGGAATGGAAGTAAGCTGGGACTCAGAACATCAACGTGGGGTTGACTAACTGTGAGAACAAATCTGTAGAGATGTGTAGACGGCCGGGTGGACAATCAAACCATCAATGCTGCCTCACAGGCTCAAAGACCCTAGCAATCCAGGGTTTCTCTCCCATTTGCCCATCTGCTGGACATCCAAGTGCCAAATTGAGTTGAGACAAGAGTCTTCTGTATCGGGGGCCATAAGTACCAGCCTCAGTACCCCCTCAGGGTTCAGAACTGGATGTCTGTGGCAGGGAGGATCTGAGGGTAAAACATTAACTTAAGTACATTAGCTCTGCATCTTCTTTATTTTTCGTGCAAGGGGGAAAATGAAGTGAAGGGGGCACAGAGGAGAGGAAGAGGAAGGGGAAGAGTAAGGGGAAGAGGAAGAAAAGAGAAGAGTAAGGGATGATCTCCATGAGGTTTCTAGTTTTCACAGACATAGTTGGAAAACTCCATAGGCAAGGACAATGAAAATATGCATATCAAAATCACAAAGAGGGGCAGGTAGAACCTGACAAAGCAGGACCCCAGAACAGGTGACCCGACCCAGGGAAGAGCCAGCATTCAAGCTGAAGTACCTGACATTCCAAACCATTAGATAAAGTTACTAAAATCCCTGAATCCTGAATTCACCCATTCTCCTCATCTAATCTCTTTGGTGGTAACCAGCTGTGGGGATGCCCAGATTTGTTTGTTAGCAAAGGTGGGGCAAGTAGAAATTTCTATGTGGTCTGTTAACAGGTAATTTTGTGGGATTGACTCTTTGTAAATTTGATTATTAGAACAAAGAGTGAATGCCACCGCTCCAAGGCCTCATGGTGTGGGGAATGGAGCAAGGTCATTTCACTGCCCAAGCAGAGGTTACAGTGTCGAGGTGTTCTTGGAATGAATCCCATTTTGAAGGGAAGAATCATGGCTTCACAAGGTTTCTACAGATATGACAGTGACTTTTCCAAAAGACAAGTGTTCCTGCAGCTCTGCAAAATGGGTTGTTCCCTGTGGACATGGACGGATACACTTCCCCTGGATCTACCTATTGGTCTGTCAGCTGTGCATTCACTGTAGAGTATTGTGGGCTCCAAATAAGTTCTGCTGGGAGGTGCAGAACCCCGTCACTGGACATGCGGAGCACAGCGTGGTAAGTGTGTCTTACCCACATGAAGTAGGGCAAAGCTGCAGAAAGCCGACTGTGTCAGTAGCCTTATGGTTCCTAGCCCCCCAACAAGGCCCAAACTTATAAAGGGACTTACTCTGTGTCCAGGTGTATACATCTCACCTGTCCTCTCCATAGAACCTTCCTCGGCTCAAGTAAGTCAGCAATTGCCTCTTGTATCTCAGGGTCATTGGCCCTTCTCTTAGCCTGGTGCGAGAGAATTGTCTGTATTCTGTCAATCATGTTATAAATAAACGCTGATTGGCCAGGCAGGAAATATAGGCAGGAAAACCAGACAGGAAGTAGAAATGATGTAATGAGAACAGGAGAATTCTGGGAAGGAGGAAGTTGATTCCTCCCATTCCTGCTCAGACCACCGAAGCAGCAGGATGTGATCTGCCTCACTGAAAAAAGGTACTGAGCCACATGGCTAACATAGATCAGAAAAATGGGTTAATCAAGATGTGAAAATTAGCCAATGAGAGGCTAGAGCTAATGGGCCAATCAGCTTTTAACTTATAGAGATCTTTGTGTGATTTTTCTTTGGGGCTAAACAGTTGTGGGCTATCAGGCGGGACAAAAACCACAACAAACAAGCCAGGCCCGTCCATGTTACATTAGCCCATTCTGCTACCTGCAGGATAGAAAACCTTGTGGGATCTGAGGCTAGCCACCGCCCTGTCATCAACAGGCTAGAAAGAAGAAAAAAATTGTAGCAAGGAGGCCACTTGTTCATCCCAGCTGCCCAGAACTGAAATAATCACACAGTATTAATTAACTCACTGCTTAGCCCATTAGCTCTAGCTTCTTATTGGCTAACTCTTACATCTTAATTTAACCCATTTCTAGTAATCTGTGTATCGTCACATGGCAGTGGCTTACCGGGTAAGGTTCTGGCATCTGTCTCTGGTGGGGTTACATGGCTTCTCTCTCACTATGCCTTCTTTCTCCCAGCATTCAGTTTAGTTTTCTTCGCTTACCTAAGTTCTGCCCCATCAACAGGCCAAGGCAGTTTCTTTATTCACCAATGGTATGTGGAATCCCACATCATCTCCCCTTTTCTGTTTAAATGAAAAGGAAGGTTTTAACTTCAACATGGTATAATTACATATAACAAAGCAGGTATCAAGCAATAATTACAGTTACAATATTTATATCTACTTTATCTTTTATCATAACTAAGTAAAACTATAACTATAAATTCTTCAATTCCATCAAAGACTCCAGAAAGATATAATATTACCTAAGTAAACAGGAGGTGCATTGTAAGCAACTTCCAAAACTCCATAATTAACAGAGACATCTTGCTGCTTGGACAGTCACCCAAAGCTCTTCTGTCCATCTTTGGCCTACAGGCCCATGGTATCCAGCACACTTTTTCATGAAGAAGAAATTTCAAAGACAGTTCCGCCTATATTGCAGTTTGTCAGTCACTTTTTTCTGTGTCCTGCAGAATGTCTAGCAGACTCTTTCATGAAGCAGGAACCCTGAAGGATTGTCTCACCTTTAGGCAAGTTCATCAGGACCCTGTGGGTCCTGAATGTCCAGTTCATCAAGCAGTCCAGGCAAGAGCAGTTTCTTGCCCAAGTGTCTAACCAACTCCATAAGGAGCCTCTTTGATGTCCATCTTCCTCTTGAAGTAGATTGGTGCTACCAGGAGCAGATGTGTCTCACTGTCATGAAAAGTCCTAAGTTCTTAAAGCATTTTAAATGCCATATTCTGTAGTCTTTGAAAGGTTTGAAGAATTCCTATCTAGATGAGATCTATCACTATACATCAAGAAAACATAACTAACATTACGACAAGCTTGACTATTATAGATGATTATCTATTAACCTATATTTCTTAATTATACATTACATTTTTTAATGAGTTGCACACAGTACCTTAATTATGAGTAGAAATACATATATACAGTATAACAAAACTGACCTTAAATTTGTATCAATAAACCAAG